GTCGAGGTTTTTTGGTCTTCCGAATATAGTTTCCCGCCTTCTCCAGAAGCAATTCTTCCTTCGAGATTTCGGGAGAGACCGAGGCTATCCTGGTTGTTCGGTTTTCCATTGCAGTGTGCTCTTCATCAGGCTCATCGCTTGGAGCTGACCGTTTACGTCGTCCTCGCAATGGCCCACCTTCAAGGTGACAACAGTATTGCGAGATGGCAGCGACAGCAGCATTTCGTCTCTGCCACTCTGCCTCCAATGAATCGGAAGTCGGCCAGGTTAACAACTTCTCGAGAATATTAATCTGCTCTGGCAACATACTGACTGTTTGTAATACGTCTTTCGCTTCCTCGTCGTCGATAGCCGCTCCAGAGAGCTGTCGCTCAATATCTATATTCGCCTGTTTGCGGTCAAACTCCTTCCGAACTTTCTGTCTCAATGCCCTCTCTAGTCGGCCAAACGTGTTGAGCTTTTCGTGGGCAAATTTTTCACGTCGCGATCGCATTTGCTCACTCTGATCATGAATGCAAATCTCAGCTTGCTCATCCAATCGCTGGGCTGCTTCAACATACTCTGGATTCACGGATCGACGCTCGTTGCTCGGCTGTCAGGTGTCGAGGTCGCCTCGTATCGATCCATCTGCTCATGCGAGTGATTGCGCGCATCAGAGATATGTTAGATTTGCGGCCATTCATCACACTTTGCATTTCCGTATCAATGTGTCGCGGAAGATAATGATTCGGGAAGGTGCGAGTATCTGCGTGCTTCATGATCAGGTTCTGCTGCGCTTCGCCAACCGCATCGCTGTTATTCAACATCTTTCCGCCTCCATAGCGCATACGATGCGCAAACATCGATTGAAGCTAGCCATGAATCTCTCCGAGATTTTTGAGCCGAGCGGACATGGTTGCTTTGGCTATGGGTTGATCCCACCGAAGAACTGGATGCCCATCATTTATGACTTCTGTCTTGCAAAAGATGTAATAATCCTCGAGCTCGGGTTTCAAATGGAGTGGCATCTGCTGGCAATCACCTTGCACAAAAAGTCTTCGTAGTATCTCCATAGAGGAAAGGGCGGGAGATTCAAAAGCTTGGAGCCAGAGGAGTATACCAAAGATGAATACATGCGGGCTAAAAATGAGAGGTGGGTCGTCGATAATCTCAGGCAATGGGAAAGTATTGCTGGGAAGGTAAAGAAAAGAGAAAAGAGGTCAGCCAATGAGCCTGCTGGGATGGAGTGATAGCATAGACGTACATAGTTTCAGACCCGAGGAGCCGCTTCGTGTGCTCTGACCTGATCTCCGCAAGAAGCACGGGAGGGCCACCCTGAGGGTTCTTTTGGATAGAGAACTGCAAATTCTTGAACTGTAGCGAAAGCAGGGCTCTCAGTCGATTCACAGTAAAAATACCAAGCATGCTGAAAAGACGCATTTGAATACGCTCGAAGCCAAAATGAAATCGCCTTTCTTGGGTTCGAAGAATGGTCTCGTTCAACTCGGTCAAGTCCTGTACAAAAACCGGTTCTTTGCCTCGTTCCTGTTGATTCAGTCCGAATTTGTCGGTCAGTTTCCGAATTCCCTGGGATACATTAGCTTCGTATGTTGCAAGAGGAGAGAGGACGGACAGCTTACCGCGTTAATCTCTTCGCTATCTTCACAGCTGATCCTCATACGGTTTATTCTCTGAAAGTAACCTTGAAAGCTCTTCCCGTCGGCTCTGAGTGCACTAGCTTTCTTTGTTCCCTTTAGATGCCTGCCAATCTGGCCATACTTGAGTTTCAGGCAATAGTTGAGAAATCGATGTACATCGTTAGGAGCGACCTGGCGAAGAGCCTCCGTCGGGTCATTCAATATCGAAAGGGCATCGGGGCTTACAGCCTTCACTCGGCAGTACCTGGCCATGTTAGCACACATTTTAACGCAAGTCGAAAAGGTTTACCCACTTATGCCAGCGCTGCTCAATTCGAATTCCGCGAACCTTAGTTTTCTCGGAACGCCCATAGTCAAGAGGAATGTTCGCAATATCCTCATCAGTGTCACCAGCGGGGTCGTCACTGAAATCCGGCAAAGTACCAGAGCAAACTGAGTCCTGCGCCGGGGGGGTTGGAGCTGCTCGCAGCCCAGTCGCAATTTCTAGAGGACTGCGGGGTTCCGGTGAGGTCTGAGTCGTCGAACCTCGCGCTTCGTCGTCATCCGATTCGTCGCTATCGCAACCGTTCGGCCGAAAAGACACACCAGATATCACTGCCATACCCCCGCGCCAGCTGGTCCGACAATTCGACGTCAAAGTACGTAGAAGACATGCTTGGGTCGGCAAGTTGGACAGGCCGTAGGCAAGGGTCACAGATGACGATTGTTGAGTCACAAAAATACCCCTTATTGGGCAGGCAAAAGAGCGGGAAGCGGAGGCGTAAAGGATAACGAGGGAGCCTTGGAAGGGAAAGATGAAGGCGAACGAGGGAGAGCAGGACGAGAGCAGTCGCAGGTTTTATGGCCAGCGACCACAAGGCCATCATAGCCAATGAGAGCCGGATCAAAGGTCGCCATTTTAGGCGCCGCGAAAGACATGGGAGCGATTTGGTGTTGGCAGAGCGACCATGTCCCTGAGTGGAAGGTCATGGAAAAGACGCCCAGGTAATCGGGCGGGCACCTAGGGGCGGGCAAGTGAGTGGTGCGCCGGCCGTTACGCCCTCTGTTACAGGGGCCCAGGACGCAGAGTGCGTGGTTATGGCCGGGCTGGTGCGTGCGTGAAGGGTTGGTGCCGAGACCGCCATTTTCGGCGTCAAAGGGGGCCAGTTCCGGCCGCACCAGCACAAATGGTTTTTGTTATCTAGTAGATGTCCTATTTTTCTGACCTAGCCTGCACGTGTTGATTATTCTCAGGCCCAAATAATAATTCATGAACAGTGGCTGTATTGACTGATTATGGATTGATGATTAGCAGATAACTTGGGAATCCAATCACAGCCATAGAACAACTGCAATATTAACAAACAACGCGGATTGAAAGATATCTTGAAGGTCCCGCAAGTTATTAACACTGGCCGTTCGGCCTTCAATCAACTAGATTAGTTAAAAGCTGAAGATGTTAGTGCTGGCATACATGTACCAGAAACACCTACAGTGCATAAAATGAAAAGAGCAACTGTGACGCGGAGGGGCTTTTCACCCACTAGGGCCTCTGACTCTATGGATCTTTCCCTCTAGATCCCGAGATATGTCAGATCAGCATGACTGGAGCGGAATAATAATGTCATTGTTACATTACCGTATCATACCGCGTGTGATTAGTGGTGGCCTAACCCAAGCCTCTATCTAAGCTCTTTATCTCTGTCATCTCCCTTGTCTGTATTAATTCTTCTTCTTTAGTTCTTCAGAATGTTACTTGATTCCAAGGACCTCTTAGTTTCTCCGCTCCATATAACGTACCTTAATCATTTGAGTGGCTTTTTTTCATATATACACTCGATGATATAATGAAATATATTTGAGTCTATAATAACCATGCCACTGTCCGATATACTCAGTGGTCTATGAATACGATTAGGATATTCTATTTATCTCCTGTAATCAATTATAATTATATTAATGTAAGTTAATATACTTAATCCTAATATAAAACTTTTAACATAAGTGTACCTTAATCCAACTCTTTTTATAGGTCTTGATATTACAATCAAGATATAGCGCTTACTAAGATCTTTATAGAGCTGTAGGTCCTTCTCATCTAGCTTGGAGAGTGGTCCTGTTGTTAGTTGACCTATTTTCTACTTTTTAATGCTTCGTTCAAGCTAAATATCTTACAAAATGGAGCAAAAGCCGCTCGTTCTACGCATTCATGTTAACTGATAGATTCTTGCCTCCCCTGGGCAGACCTCTCATCCTACTGTGTTCTTATTTTTGTTACTAACTTACTATATACACTGGTTATTATGCAGCGGCTTACTCTATCCGCGGGTCTGCCCTGTACGTGCTATCTAAGCCACGTGGGTAGGTCTTATGTTTTATAAAATAAAGTAGAAAGACAATGATTCATTAACTAGCTCGTTCCGTTTGAAAAGCTGTTCCATTTTGTACAGGGGCGTTAGCAGATGTCGGCAGGTATAAGCTACATGACTGGTTAATCGTGCGACTGATGTGGCTCACTGAGCTTGAATCGATCTTCTGTCACAGCCACCTTGGGATGTTATGTCCACTCCTAACTCTAATAACCCTAGAGGAGCAACCGGCCCTAACATTATGAGATGCCAAACCAGTACCGCGGTGTCTATGGTGTGGTTTTGATTTTGGGTCCCCTCCCGCTACTCGATTTTCATTTAATTCCCCTTCCTTTGTCTTTACATCGTGTTACTTCTTTCTGTCGCATCTAGGCACTCCTACCTTAGTTTGCTTCTTCGCGTCTTTTCTTCTCTCATTTTCCCTCTCATGGCCCGTTTTCATTGTTTCCATCGACACCCAAAAAATGTCATCTTGTTGTGAAGAACTCTTCAAAGCACATTGGCCGAACTGGGGGTGAGATCCATGCTCTTGTCTTGGTCGGTACGGCTGTCCAAGTCCACTCAAGAGAAAGGATCTGGATGAAATATGACATACCGTTAATGATATACAATGCACTACCGATATATCCGTTGCAAATCGAGCGACCAAGCACCCTTTGTTTCTGCTGCTCATGGTTCCTCCGCCAGTAGAATTCCCAGAAAACGCCTGAATTGATTATACTTTGTCTGCCACCAATAATTATGGTTATGCTCGCGGACTGAGTCCCGCTCAATCACTGCTTTTAAGGTGGCGTTCTGCCCAGTGCTTCCGTTCAAAATCCCCTCCTGTGCCCGAACACTCCGTCGGGTCGTGTGTTGATGTCATTTTGGCGAGCTGCTGGCTGAGAGTAGTGAAAAATTATGTCCCTACCATCGGTAACCCCAAGAGTTATGAGGACAATACCTGTCATTTCTCTTACTCTCTTGGCCGTGGTCATTTTTCTTTTACTACCCTTCAACTGCGTGTATCATCTTAATGATCAATCATCACCCTCAGTGGGGCCCACCCGTCGGCTGGTCCCGTTTCGCCTACGCGGAATATGTCACCAACACGCTCTATTTGTGTAATTCAGTCATGCTCTTTGAGGCTCTACATCGCCTAGGGAGTAAACCTGACCGTTTGATGATGTACCCTTCCGCCTTCTTGCAGGACGAGAAGGACGATTCTACCGAGCCGACTGCTTCGCAAGGCACGGGACGAATATGGAGTCAAGCTGATGCCGATAGAGGTGCAAAGTCGAGACAAGGGTAATGGTGAGTCTTGCATCTCTCATAGTCCGCTGGCAAGGGTGTCCTCTCTAGCTGCCCCATGTTTACGCTGATGCTTAACTCCCACAACTAATAGCAGTTCAGCTACCTGGGCGGACAGCTATACCAAGCTTCTCGCTTTCAACCAGACACAATACGATCGCGTCCTGAGTTTAGACTCGGACTCCACCATCTTGCAAGTCCGTGGTTCCTTCAAAAATAGTTGACTATTTCCTGTCGCTGATGCCGTTTTCCAGACCATGGATGAGCTCTTCTTCTCTCCGCCGTCCCCTGTGGCAATGCCCCGGGCCTACTGGCTCAATTTCAGCGATCGAATTCTCAGCTCGCAGCTTATCCTCGTCCGGCCGACGAACTTCGAATTTAATCGTATCCTGAAAGCCATCTCGGAGGCGGGAAACACCGACTATGACACGGAGATTGTAAATAATTTATACCGCGACAGTGCCCTCATTCTTCCCCATCGACCGTATGATATCTTGACGGGGGAATTCAGATCCAAAAGACACACCGATTATTTGGGAAATCCTCTTGAGTCGTGGGATCCCGTGGCCGCGTTTCAAGAAGCTAAGTTCCTTCACTTCTCGGACTGGCCCTTCCCGAAGGTAATATACTTACTGTCTTCTACCTCGGGTATCACTATAGTGCTAACGATCGGTTTCCTAGTCTTGGATCGCTGCCAGTCCAGCCACCGTTGAAGAAAAACAACCTACATGCGACTTGAACATTAATATTAGCTCGGATGGGTTAAGCTCTCATGATCTCACCAACTTTTCCTTTCTGGAAAACGAAACAACTTTGAGACAGAAACTTTTAGGGAGTAAGAAGTAATAAGTTCTATTAGAGAGGAACCACCGCAGAGGACGCTTAAATAATTACAGGGGGAAACGAGAAATTTGGTTTAGGAAGTTTTCAGAAATCTTATCATCCCCAACTGCAATTGAGTGTTTTCATTTTGAAACACTGATAGGTCTGTTTCTCTAAGTTCCCCTAGTACTTGAACAGGTCTTTAACGGGAAGGGTATACTTTCTATATCATTAATCGTACTGGTTCACAAATATACAGGAACTATGCGCGTGGAAGTGCAGCTGCTTGTCAACTACACAGACATGGATGGTGTGAAGCCTTTTTCCTGATGCCATGTTAGGGCTCTTGCACTACTAACACCCAACCTATATTTTCATTTAAATAATACCTCCGCTCCAAAAGGTTGTGAACCTGCTGTTCCAAATCTTTCATAATGTCTCTTGCATGATAGGTCTTATTTTTCTCTGGCACAATATCCCGGGCTGTCCCGTCAACTCGGCAACAGGAGATTATGAATCTTCCGTTGAATTATGCGGCGAGTCAATTGTCTAGACGCTTTGCATTGTAGTATATAAAGACACCGATCCCGCCCTAAAATGGAGAACCTGATCACTCAGCCGCCTTGACCTCTTTCAACTGAACACCTTGAATCAATACTTGCTTTCACGCTGTTCAAGAGATCAACTCGAGGTTCCGCAAATACTTTGCCAGAAGATTCCTAGCTCGTTCAGACCTGGTGTCTTCGAACGGAATTTCCAAACACACCAGAAACTATGGCCTCTATGCCGGGGGCTTCTGAAAAGGCTTCTGAGGACCCAACACGGCCAACGCATATCAACGTCACCGCCTCGGCCTCATCAAACATTCTGCACAAGCACAACAACGGAACACCGTTTACAGTCACCCTCACGGCTGTTTTACCCATTATGCCTAATGAGGTTAGCAAGCCTCTTACAGTGTTTATCCACGACACTCTGCTCGACCCCAAAGGGAATGTTTTCTTCCAGGGTGGCCTTGAGCTGGTGAGCTCTGATTCTGCTGAGCAGACTCAAGCGCCAGAGTCTGGACCGCCTCAGACCAGTATATATTATTCCTCCAAAGACCTCTACACCGTCGATCGTGAAAATGAGCAATATTTCGTGACTCTTCAGCCAGGTGTGCCTTACCGAGTGACCCATACCATGAAGGTTCGACAAAAGTTCTCAATGAAAAGTGCATATGACAAGGTGTCATGGGTGTCGCAGTTCGGACAAACTCAAGGGATCAATATTGGCGCAACTTATAAGGTCGAGTTTGGAGAAAGCATGAGCTATATCAGGTGGTTTCGACGCGGAAATAAGGAAGAAGTACTTAGCGGATACGAGGGTTTCTGGGGTCACCTTCGACGCCTCACCTGCTTAAAACGGAAGCCAAAAGATCGGATTGGCGATTCGGATATGCGTCCTATCCCGCTTATCCAGCTGAACGAAGTTCCTGTGACCGTTACATTCTAGGTAGCGACTGGGGGATTGTTTCCTGATTTCCGTTTTTTTCTCTCCTATAATCCTACCTATCCATCAGATCAACGGTGATTCGGATCTTTCTTATATATTGAAGCTAGGCTCAGATAATTTTTGTACCTAGTTCCTTCCATTTCCTTTAATCCCTGTACAATATCATTATATGCAATATTATTTTCTTTTCTCCACCTTATTTTTTCTTTGATTCCATCTTTCGGGACTCGTCCACCTTTGAGGTTTTCCCAACGTTCGAATACATGTAGGGCTTGTAGCAAACTACACAGTACATTGCGTTATTTTATCGCATATAGAACCACGATACTAGTTGGTTATCAACATTCTCATACGTCCGCAAATGGCAGGGTATCTACAGTAATGCAGTTTCGTACCGCTCAATTATAGAAGTTTCCCTTCAAAAGATTCAGCTCATAGATGTTGCAGACTTGAATGCTCTTAAGCTACCAGTAACCCTATCTCATGGTCTCATGTCTCTGTCCTGTGATATCTGTGATTGTCACTTAACTAATTCAGGCCGGATCTTGGGTTAATATATCTTTAGTTTCTAGGTTGCATATCCGTGAGGCATCCATAGCAAGCACTCTAGTCAGGTGTTGATGTTACAAATGACTTTACGCTATTTATGCAATTCGATTGAAGCATATTTAAAGCGAGAGCATATTGTCGAGTTTGGTTATTGGTACAGCGGCGGATTGACAGAGGGGTCAGGCATCAAGGCACCAAGGCATCACCTGGCTCCACAGAAGCTGGCGCCAATGGAAAGCCTCAAACCGGTGCATTCTCCCGCACACAAGACCAAAAATATCGGATTTGATTGCTCAAAAGTTCCGCCTCTCGGGCGCTAACCGCCAGTTGTGCCGTTATATCCGACATCGCAGACCAACAGAATTGCGTCTTTCAGGCTTCTCCGCATGCCATTTTGGTTCCACTCCGCCGACACCTAATAAAGCGCCTTCTTATCATCCAATCCTAGCCAAGAATTTGCGATGGGTTTAATCCTAGGCGGGTCTGTTCAAAATGGCCCAAAATCGATGGGGAAGACCACAAAAATTGCTTCTCTTCAAATTTCTCCGCTTCCCCTGCCAAGTGCGTTGGTTCATCGAAGTATAACAGCCTGATGCACGTCGGTTTAGCTTGAACGAGAAGGACCCAGAGCTGAAACTTAAGCTCCTATAAGGTTATCTCCTCTGTGCGACCGTTCGAGCGTGGTCGCCATTTGTTCGGCATAACAGTGTCGGGTATACGGGACCGTTGAAGCTTTTGCCGCCCAGACGATAGGCGTCGAACAATAAATGGGTCATGCGTTAGGTTTTGCATATAGAGAGAAAAGTGTTCCAGCGAAGATGGAGAAAACTATAGAGAGCCAGACAGAGCTCCCTCAGGCAACACGGACGCAATCGGAGCCTTATACGGTGTTTACGAAATATCAAGTTTACTACATTGTGTTTACGGCGTCATGGGCTGGGCTCTTCTCGCCGATCTCTGCGAATATTTATTTCCCGGCCTTGAACACACTGGCGGATGATTTGCACGTGTCAAGCTCACTTATCAATTTGACGGTTATGTCGTATATGGTATGTTGTCTGGCGTAGATTCAATGGACAATGCTAACAACTAGTAGATCTTTCAAGGTCTTGCGCCGATGTTCATCGGCGACTTTGCAGATGTCGTTGGTCGTCGGCCAGCTTACATGGCCTGCTTCGTCATCTATACAGCAGCGAACATTGGACTGGCGTTGCAAAGCAATTACGCTGCCTTGTTCGTTCTTCGGTGCATGCAGAGCTCAGGGAGTAGCGCCACTATCGCTTTATCGTCAGGCGTCGTCTCTGATATCGCGACGGCCGCCAAGCGCGGATCATATATTGGTCTGGTTACCGCAGGATCGTTGCTTGGACCTAGTCTAGGACCCGTGATTGGCGGTCTTCTGGCGCAGTATCTGGGATGGAGGGCTATTTTCTGGTTTCTCACGATCATGTCAGGTGTCTTTATGGTTCAATTTGTTCTCTTCTTCCCGGAGACTAGTCGTCGGGTTGTTGGGAATGGGTCTCTGATGCCACAGAGGTGGAATCTGTCAGTCATGGACTATATGAAGTCCCGAAAACACACAGAAACAACTGTTACTGAAGACACAAACACGGGCAATCGACCTAAATTCCGCGGCCCCAACCCGATTCAAGCTCTGCGCATCTTATTCGAAAAAGACACCTCGCTGCTCCTGTTCGTCAACGCGATCCTCTTTGCCGGATACTACGACATCACCGCCTCGCTACCCTCCCTCTTATCCGAGATCTACGGCTACAACGACCTCCAGGTCGGTCTTTGCTACATCTCCATCGGCACAGGCTGCTTTATAGCCGCCTACTCAAACGGCTATCTTCAGGACTGGAATTTCCGTCGGACAGCTCACAGACTGAACATTGAACTCGTCGCCAACCGTCAAACAGATCTAACCGCTTTCCCAATCGAACGCGCCCGCGTACAAGTTATGGTTCCACCGCTCGTGGTAGGCTGCGTTGCCGTGATCGCCTTCGGCTGGGCCGCGCATTACGAGACGCATATCGCTGCGCCACTGGTGATCCTGTTCTTCTGTGGCTTGTGTCTCAGCATGGCGTTCAATACCGTGAGCACGTTGCTGATAGACTTTTATCCCGGAAAGGCGGCGACGGCGACCGCTGCGAACAATCTTTGCCGGTGTCTCTTAGGAGCGGGGGCTACGGCGCTGATTGTCCCGATGATCGACGGCATGGGGAGGCAATGGTGTTTTACGTTTATCGGACTAGTTATGTTAGTCGGGTCTTTGCCATTGGTGGTTATTGTGCGATTAGGTCCGAAGTGGAGGGAGGAAAGGAGGTTGAGAGCTACAGGGTGAAGATTTGACTTATATCATGTTTTATTTCAAGGCGAGTGTACAGTACATATTGCCCCGACCCATTACGATACTTACCGTAGACTGAACACACCCAAATAAGAAAGCAATACGAACAATTCAATCGAGAGTACTGACGAAACCGGTAAGAATCTAGAACACCGGTCGAAATGCGATGAGGTCACCGTATTCTGGACCCCTTGCATACGGGGAAGATGCGATCATTGCATGACGTCATCGAGATCGATCGAGATCGACGCGATCTCGATGATAGAAGACAGCCGCGAAAACCCTGAATTTGAATGAAATCTACCGTTGCCAGACCAATGCCACTCAACTTCCCAGAGAATGAAAGGAAAAGCTGCTTCGAATCCGGTAGTGCTCTACTGGCACCGCACCGACCTACGACTGCATGACTCGCCCGCCCTACACGCAGCACTGAACCTGAAACCCTCGATCTTTCTTCCCGTCTGGACATGGGATCCGCACTATGTGTATCGGGCGCGTGTCGGGCCTAATCGCTGGAATTTTCTGATTCAATGCCAGAGCGACTTATCGAAGTCGTACACGAAGTTGAACCCGAAGCAGAAGTTATGGGTTGTGCGCGAAGCGCCGCAGACTGTGCTCCCGAGGTTATGGAAGGAGTGGGATGTGACGCATTTGGTGTTTGAGAAGGATACGGATGCTTATGCGCGGGATCGCGATGAGGCCGTGATGCGCTTGGCTAAGGAGGCTGGGGTCGAGGTCGTTGTGAAGATGGGGAGAAACTTGTTCGACCCGGATGAAGTCGTCCAGAAAAACGGTGGGAAGCCGACGATGAGCATGAGTCAGATTGAGAAGGCCGTTGAGGGGATGAATAAGGGGAGGCCAGCGGAGGTGGTCGATGCGCCGGAGGAAATCCCGGATCCGTGGGACGAGAAGAAAATGGATTTGAGTGGTCTGGAGCCCGATGGTGTTGATCCCAATCCAGATGTTAATCAGAAGTATCGAACGAAGAAGGATGAGCAATATGTCAAGATCATGGGGCCGAAAGATGACTTTGGAGTGCCAAATTTGCAGGAAATCGGAATCGATCCGTCACAGATCACAACGCCACATAAAGGAGGCGAGAAGGAGGCACTGAATATTTTGAGTGATTATATCAAAGACGATGAGTACGTCGGGACATTTGAGAAGCCCAAAACATCGCCTGCCGCGTTCCAGCCACAATCAACTACCCTGCTGTCGCCACATCTGCATTTCGGCAGTTTGTCTGTTCGAAAGTTCTGGTGGGAGGTCCAATCTGTTCTAGAGGACCGAGCAAAGCGAAAGAAAGCAAACTCTACGATACCCACAAACCTACCCGGACAGCTCCTATTTCGTGACATGTACTTCGCAGCACAAGCAGCTATTGGACATTCTTTCTCGCGGACATATGGAAACAAGGTTGTTAGATTCATTGACTGGCACCTTCAATCAACCGATATTGAGACATCTGGGAAGGAACAGCCGGCAGACAGGACCTACGTGGTCGATTCCGAAGAAGCAGAGATATGGTTTCGCAGGTGGAGAGATGGCAGAACAGGCTTTCCGTGGATTGACGCGTTGATGCGCCAGCTCAAGCAGGAAGGCTGGATACACCACCTAGGTAGACACAGTGTTGCCTGCTTTCTAACACGCGGAGGATGCTACGTGAGTTGGGAGAGGGGCGCGGAAGTGTTCCAGGAATGGTTGCTCGATCGTAAGTTAAACTATGCCGTCATTGGACATAAAAATACTAACAAATTCACAGATGAAGAAGCTTGTAATATTGGCAACTGGATGTGGCTTTCCTGCACAGCATTCTTCGCGCAGTTCTACCGATGCTACTCGCCCGTCTCATTTGGCAAGAAATGGGATCCCAAAGGGGAGCTTATCCGTCACTACGTTCCTGAACTGTCAAAGTTCGATAAGAAATATATCTATGAGCCGTGGAAGGCTCCCATTCCCGACCAGAAGAAATGGGGATGTCGGGTTACGGGCGACGGAAGCGAGTCCGACAATGATGAGATAAAGACATATCCCAAACCCATGTTTGATTTCGATGAGCGAAGACAGATCTGTCTTGACAGTATGAAAAATGCATATGATATCGGACTTCACGGAGACGACATGTGTGTGAAGGACGGGTCGTGGAGAGAGGACTTCGAGGGGGGAGATGAGAAACAGGATGGTACTGAGAGTGACATACGGCAGGGCCGGGAAAAGAGACGGAAAGTATGAAACAGTTGTGATTGTATCTATCATTCAAGTGCTAATCAGCGTGACAAATTAATCTTTTTTGTTGTCTTCAGGATGATAGATGTTCCTAAAGTGAAGTCGGAGACTATCTAGTATGGGAGTATCCGGATTGACCCGCTAGACACTTAGCAAACTTGAGAATGGTTCACTAACGAGTCACGCACTCACGATAACATACTAGCGAAATTACCTCGTAAAGAAGGTTCAAATCGACGACCTTTGACCAACTCGGCCTTGTCGAACGTTCGGCCGTAAGAGGGAAGTCATCGAGATTCTCTCAAGTACGCAGAGGTCAAATGCATTTAGAGTCTGCATTCGAATGAGAGCCCAGTCTGAGAGATTGAAGATGTAGCATCTCAGTAGAAAGGAAATTGAGTATCGAAGTCCAGCGTCCACGGAGCAACGCGATGAATGAAAGCTCAAGATGTACAATACCTGGGTTCATCACAAAAAACATAGAAGATCAAATCGGGTGTAGGAATGGTCAGATAGACAGGCGCACTCCAGAGATGCAAAGTCCATAAATCGTACTATCCTTTTGAACACTTCTCGCGTTCGATCGGGACCATACCCATGGAATGTGCTCACCGTAAAGGACCTAATTGTAGATAGGTCAGTTTTAAGTTTCGACAGTCATGCTCATTTCGAAATTCTCCCATCGGTGCTCATGACTCAACGGCTCATCCAAATTCAAATGTTTTACCAGCTAGTATAATGATCTCATCGAGGCGGGAGATCCAAAGTCGAGCAACGACCAGTGCTGGAACAAGCGACGTATACAGCAGGAAATATACCTCGAACGAATCCACAACCAGCTTTACCTCGAGAATCGCGGTTGTGATAAAGTAATACGTTCAAACTGTCTCCTCCCAGCGCCGTGAAAACCGAGATATATCATCTATATCAATATGGAAGCGAGGGGCACTATTGCCATCGATTGTGTTATTTAAATGCCACTGAAGGACAATGGTCCTAATGTTCCGGTATTCCCAGGAACAACCTAATATCCACTTCCCAGTTGGAGTGAGACTATTTCATTGTCTGGTAACTGGTCCTCCCCTTCATTGTTCTTGTTTATTTCGTTCATGGCTCGAGTACCCCCTTTGTCTTCGCGCCAAGGAACCCATTTCTATTATCGCGTTTATAAAGGTTTTATGTTTTTCTCCTTTTTAACGGTACATTCCATTTTTTGTATCATTGATCATCAAATCAAGATAACCCGGATTGATCTTTTATCCATCTGACGGCTGTAGTATAAATACTGGCTTGCCACCAGCCAAAATGTCAAAATATCATTCTGTTATCTTCCATCACGACTTAACATCAACTTATCTATCCTTTTTCAGTTTAATTATCAGCCATGCCGTATACGATCAGAGAATGGGATCTTACGGCCAAGTCGGAGTCCGTCTTTTACAACCCGATGACCATGCATAGAAAGCCCATGGCAAAGGGCAACTAGCGCATCTGGGGCATCCGCGCCTCAATTGGTGGCTACTACTCATCTGATGATGAGTTGCTCAAGGACGCCATGGACGCGCTCTCCCTCGCCCGCCCCGACAAGTGAGAAACCGACAGGAGTCGCAGAACCTATGCTTGGGATTTCTTATATCCTGGCTTGTATTACCGTTTCTGGGCTACCGATAAAGACATCAAGGCAGGGGGGGATCGTTTGAGGCAAATTGCCCGTGAGGCGATGCAAGTTGACTACAAGGCACACTAGGCTGAGAGGCTTCTCCTGCAGGGTGTTGAGTCGGGAGACAGTATCGATTCTCTTCTGATTTCTCGATCCCGCGAATTAACTGAACGAAACTGAGTGCATCTACGAATCTGAGTTCATCTAGTACGTTGTCTTCTTCTGAGCAAGAACGAAGACAGGGAATACATTTAGATTGCGGGTAGTAGGTTATACTGTGAACACGAGAAAACTCCAATATGAATTCCGTACTTTTTTGCCATGTAAAGCAATATTCCCTAAGAAAGTCTTGAACATTAGTACACACTATACGCGTGATGAGAAATCGTAGCTCGAGTTCTGTTGACATCGGTACAGCTATTCCGGGAACACCCGTCACCCCCTAGCCAGGCTAACCAGAATAGGCAGGCAGATCGTCCGGAGGTCTCCGAGTGACGCTAAACCCAAAGCAGACGATCCCTCCCTCCTCCTCCGTGCGACGCCTATCATCTCATTCTTCATTCAACCGCTCGTTCTAAGCATTAAATCATCAAGGAGGTTGTCACATCTATCTCTATCTACTGAAGTGCCAATTATGGGTTGCGGATCTGGCTGTTGCAAACCAACGGGTCCACCCGGCACCTCCGCCGTCTCGTCGCCTGAGACACTCGAGGTGCGATCGTCTATCAAGAATCAACTCTGCGATAAACCGACAGACAAAGGAAAGGGAATCGATGAGTCTGTCATTGAGGGAGATCCCATCCTCGATACCTGCTGTGCTCGAAAACCGATTCAAGCAATCCACAAAAAGGATTGCTGTTCTATTGTGGAGCAGTCCCCCCAGGGAAATGAAGAATCCAACAGACCCAGTTGTTGCAAATTGAAGGCTTCGCCGTGCTGCGACACGTCCTGTCTTGGCCTTCTTGCCCTTCGTGAATGCGAAAGTGGGGAAACGCGTGCTGCGCTGCAAAGATCCACCTCCAGAGGTAAAGCACCGATCAACGAATCCCTATGACAACTCGCTCATGCTATTTTACAGGTTCGATTAGATCTCTTGCAAGATCCGCAGCGCGCGGCTCCTGCCTAGGAATGCAAAATGGCAAAGCATGTGACCACCATTCACGCAAAATCCGAGAAAGCTACGCAACCACTTTGGATGCTCTCGGCTGTATTTGTCGTGCTTTGCTAGCTCTTGGACAAGAGTCTTGCTGTCTACCTCCTGAACGGCTGCCCACTGCAGCTATACGTTCCAAAAAGAAGGCACTCTCCGGCGTACCTCCGCTGAGAATTGCTGCACCAAAGGGGCAAGCACTTGCACGAGTGTAGCGGAATCTTCCACCAAGAGACGTCCTCAATCGAAAACAAGCAGCCGTGATGGCAGCCCTGTAGGAAACAGTGCTTACGAGAAGACCTGCTGCGCCAAGCCTGCAATCGTTGGTGTCACTAAGTCGTGCGCAGATGCATGTTGCTCAGATGAGAATGCGCAAAAATTGAAAGAGCCATTGACTGAAACAGCATCGGTCTCTCTTGATCCAGAAAAAGGGATTCCGAGCCAGGAGCATGTCATCCTTAGTATTTCCGGCATGACCTGTACAGGATGCGAAAAAAAGCTCAAACGAACCCTTGGCATGGTCGACTCAGTGAAGAACCTCAAAACAAGTTTGGTTCTTGCTCGAGCCGAGTTCGATCTTGATCTTCGTCTTGGTTCCATCTCCGATGTTATGAAACATCTGGGAAGAACCACAGAGTTCAGATGTGAGAGAGTGAGCAGTAAAGGCTCCATCATCGACCTGATCGCTCCTTGCGATTCGCATCAGTTCATTGATCGTCCCTGGCCTAATGGTGTCACTGATATACGGGCAGTTGACAAGAACACGGTCAGCGTCACCTTTGATTCAAAAATTGTCGGTGCAAGAGATCTCGTTGAAAAAGGTTGGGAGTCACCTCTAGAACTCGCCCCCTTTCGTGATGACCCAACTCTCGAAGCGGGCAGTAAACATGTCCGGTATGTCGGATGGATGACTTTACTATCGATCCTCTTGACAATTCCAGTTCTTGTCATGGCTTGGGCTCCTCTTCCAAAACGGGAGATTGCGTACAGCTCGGCATCTTTGGGCTTGGCAACCATTGTGCAGCTCGTCATCGCCGGGCCATTCTACCCGAAAGCGCTGAAGAGTTTGGTCTTCTCTAGAATGATAGAAATGGACCTACTGATCGTCCTGAGTACAACTGCGGCCTACGTATTCTCCATTGTTTCATTTGGTTACTTAGTTGTTGGGCGTCCACTTCCAACTGATCAATTCTTTGAAACAAGCACTTTATTGGTGACCCTGATCATGGTCGGTCGGTATGTCAGTGCCTTGGCTCGGCAGAAGGCTGTTGAGTCGATATCTATTCACTCCTTACAAGAGTCTACTGCGGTACTGGTTGGCGAGTCTGGAGATCTCGAGGTAGACATCAGACTCCTACAGTACGGTGACATTTTCAAGGTTACGCCTGACGCTAGAATCCCGACGGACGGTACGGTCATTTCTGGGGCTTCCGAGATTGACGAGTCTATGATGACCGGGGAGTCCAATCTAGTTTCGAAATACATCGGATCTATGGTGATTGCCGGTTCTATTAACGGATCAGGAGTGCTCCATGTTCGGCTAACTCGCCTTGTTGGGGATAACACCGTAAGCACGATTGCTGGCATGGTTGATGAAGCCAAGCTATCCAAACCAAAAATTGAAGATATCGCCGACCGCGTTGCCAGCTATTTCGTTCCAGCCGTTATCGCCCTGACAGTTCTCACTTTTGTCATCTGGGTGGCTGTTGGTGTTGGGATCCGGAACCAAACTGGCGCAGAGGCAACAGTCCAGGCCATGACATATGCCATCACCGTGCTGATTGTCTCCTGTCCCTGTGCTATCGGCCTTGCTGTTCCGATGGTCATTGTAATTGCAAGTGGTATATCTGCTGAGCGAGGCGTTGTGTTCAAATCTGCAGACAGCATTGAGGTGGCCCACAAAACCTCGCATGTCGTCTTTGACAAAACTGGTACACTAACACAAGGCAAGCTGTCGATCAATCAGGAAACCTATACCAAAAACGGCTGCGTCTCCGCCAAATCGCTACTTCTTGGGCTGGTGCACGAAAATAAACACCCTGTGTCGATAGCTGTGGCCAATCACCTAAAAGATCAAGGCTTGCTCCCTTCCAGCGTGTCTGATCTAAAGGTAGTGACAGGCAAAGGGGTCGAGGGCACATCATCTGGCCTGGTTCTTCGCGCAGGTAACTCCCGCTGGCTGAATCTCTCCTCGGATGCTCGAGTTCAGCCAATGCTACAACAAGGTTTCACCGTTTTCTGCTTCACCATCAACGCCTCCCTTGCTGCTATCTTTACCCTCGAAGATACTCTTCGCCCTGACTCTGCCTCGGCCGTCACGACTCTCCTCGAGCGCGGAATATCTATACACATTGTCTCTGGCGACGACGACGGTGTTGTCCGCTCCATTGCCAGCACTTTACAAATTCCAGTCACAAATGTCCGCTCGCGATATACCCCCGCCGACAAACGCACATACATCCAGAACCTTCTTTCCCAGCCTTCCACCAACCCGAGACCCACCCAACCAGTCGTCATATTCTGCGGCGACGGCACAAACGACGCAGTCGCCCTCTCGGCGGCCACAATCGGAGTCCACATGAATGAAGGCACCGAGATCGCCAAATCCGCCGCCGACGTGGTCCTCATGCGTCCTAGCGTCACCGGCATCTTAACCATCATTAGCATCAGTCGCAAATCTATCAATCGCATCCGATTCAATTTCGGGTGGAGTTTCGTATACAATCTCTTTGCTATATTGCTTGGCGCGGGAGCTTTTGTCAATGCCAGGATTCCGCCTAGGTTTGCGGGGTTGGGCGAGCTGGTTAGCGTTGTGCCAGTCGTTGTTGCAGCTGTTGCGTTGAGATTCGAGAGGCTTTGATGGAATTGGCTTTGCAATCGAAGGTCTATTATTGAACCACCTTCGATATACGGCTAAAATAAAGCATGGTGGGTGTTCACAGGATTGCAATAGGCGAGTGAGTTGTGAAGGTAGGACACCTCGATCAAAAGCTTCGCAATTCTTGGGGACAAAAAAAAATGAAGTGAGTTTGAAGACGAAGAAAGAACACGAAAAGACAAGTTCAAAAAAATTCAAAAATGAAGAATCCCAAAAAAAAAAAAGAAAGAAAGAAAAAAAAAGAAAGAAAAAAGCACTGAAGCACCAAATATAGCAAAGCGCAAATATCCCAGGGCCTGTAACTTCTAGCTAGCTACAGTAGATCTCAGAAGTAGTATTGACAATGAAAATAACGTTACAGGCCCATAACAGAAAGCCGCACATGCTTTCTTCATTCATTTTAATACAATTTAACCTTGCCCAATCTTCTATTGCGTTTGAGATAAATCTGTGGTCCTGCCCAGATTCATGCCTGAGGCTGTAAGGCATCCGCGGTGTAGCAACCCGCAAGCTATGATGATGAAAAGGCCCTGCGCAATGGCTGTTTCTCCATCCCTTTCGACTATATGTATTATTTCTTAATGACTCTATTCTGCAGGTCTGTTATTGAAGGTCAGCGCAAGAATCAACAGCTAAAATTGGCTCTTGGTTCTCAACTATATTTGAAATTAGCCTCCAGGAATTATATATAGACCTCCTCCGTATTCGCATGAAATCCTACTTTTATCCAGCTCGCTACATACTAGCTCTTCTGGGTGAGCTCATACACTCAGACATGGAATACTGCATATCTGAGGCCTGCCGAACGCCAACCTCGTAGGTATTGTCTGACATTGCACTACTGTTTTGATTTCTGGATCCATCTTCTCGTTGTAACATACAACCCTTTGGTTCATGGAACATGACTCAAAAACATTTCCATATTAGTAATAACCAGCGTTGGTAGTGTAACGGTTATCATCCTTGCCTTCCAAGCAAGGGACCCGGGTTCGACTCCCGGCCGACGCA